TAAAATAAAATAAAATAAAATAAAATAAAATAAGATAAGATAAAATAAAATAAGATAAAATAAAATAAAATAAAATAAAATCAAATAAAATAAAATAAAATAGAATAAAATAAAATAATGTAAAACAAAAATAAATGTAAAATTAAAAATATTAAAAAAAGAAAATAAAATAATGTAAAATAAAAAATAACATAAAAAAACTAAAATAAAATGAAATACAATAAAAAAGAATAAAAAGAAAAAATGTTATTAAAGAAAATGTAACAAAATGAAATTAGTTTAAATTAATAAGGAAATTAAAATTAAATTAAATTAAATAAAAAAATCTCCAAGCAACCTAAAAAATAAAATTTAATAAAAAAATAGAATAAAATAAAAATATAATAAATATGAAATAGTTTAAAACGAAAAAATAAGAAAATAAAGCACAATGAAATAAAATACAATAAAATAAAATTAAATTAAATAATATAAAATGTAATGAAATCATTTAATGTATAAAAAATATTCTTTTGTCATATTTTTTATATTTTAATTGATTTCATTACATTTTATAAAAAATAAAATAAATATAATTATAATTTTATTTTGTTGTAAGTTTTTAACACAAGAGTCATTCGCTTATCTCTTTGGTAGGCCACACCGTTCCCACGAGTATAATATCTAATTAAGAAACCACACATCACTGTTGAGCAATACTTTATGGTGATCATAACCTTTATGACGAACTAATTGACAGGCAGACGCTTGCTCCATTAAACAAATATATATTACCATTATGCTGATGAAGTGCACTTCCTACAACAAACAACCAATGACAAAATGCAAAGTAAACCCACTCAATATGCAAAAGCAAAAACATTAAAGCAAAGTCTTGAAAATTATTCCAAAAAAAATTAATATAAATATTTGAAAATTTAAATTGTTAATAACTATTAATGTTATACATGCATACAAACACAAATTCGTATACTGAATTGAAAACATTTTAACCATTTCTGTCAGCCTCTTTCGTTTATTTGTGCTTAGCAATCGTTTTTTTTTTAGTAAATTGCATTAACTTGGCAAACCAACACAGTTGGCATGAAGAGTGATCGTCTGCGGCTCGGTTAATTAGTCTAACTTAAATAACCGGTTTAGTTGGACCTTCAGCTTTTATTATAGAAATCAAGTCATAGTTAATAATTGTCTTTAAAGATTAGTGATTTTTTTTTCTTTTTGGAGCATAAAAAATTATTTATTACTTTTACTTATATATTTGTTTGGCCTATCACATTTCGGTTCTATACACATATGCATATATGTGCACTTTTTATACGGAATTTAATTCCGGTTCCAAATTTTTTTAGAAATGGCAAGGCGCTCAAATTAAATCGATGATATGTGGTAATAAATTCAGTTCAAAATAAAATCGAACATAAAACAATAGAGTCGCGATAGAGTTAGACACAAACAGTGATAGTTTAGAACCAACCAAATATGTGCCTTTAGTTGTTGTACCCTTCCTTTCATTTTTTTCTTCTTCTTTTTTTTTGGTATTTTTAGAATGATTAATAATTTCTCTAAAAAAACATTAATCTTAAAGCTATATCGGTTTCATAGCACCATTTCAAACAGATGGTGTTTTTCAATTCCGATAAGTAAAGAGTGATTTTTTAAGCGCTATGGGAAAGTTAAAAAAAATACATAAAATTCAGAAAAATGCTTGAAATCTTTATTTGAATCGAAAGTACGGTCCATATAATTTAATGTTTGAAGATTATTTCATGCAAATGTTGACCGTGACTGAGCCTCAAACGGTCCATCCGCTTAGTCCAATTTTTCCATACTCTTTCCAGCATTTGCTCACGAATAATTGCTTCAATGTTGTCCTCCAACGCATCAATTGAAGCGGGTTTGTCTGTGTAGACATAAGATTTAACATAGCTTCACAAAAAAATAGCCTAAAGGCTTTAAATCGCACGATCTGGGCGGCCAATTGATCGGTCACGAACGTGAAATGAAATGTTCACCGAATTCGTCTCTCAATAAGTCCACTGTTACGCGTGCTGTGTGGCATGTGGCACCGTCTTGCTGAAATTACAAGTCATGCAAGTCAGGCGCTTGCATTGTGGGCGAAAAAAAGTTTAATATCATCTCACGGTAGCGCTCACTATTCACAGTTACGTTACGTTTCGCAACATATTTGAAGAAGTACGGTCCAATGATGCCACCAACCCATAAACCGCACCAAACTTTTACTTTTTCTGGATGCATTGGTAGCTCTTGCAATGCTTTTGGCTGATCTTGACTCCAAAATCGACAATTCTGCTTAGTTACGTACCCATTATGTCAAAAGTGAGCTTTGTCGCAGAACAATTCATGATTAAATTATAGACCAAACTGACGTTGTTTGGCAGTGATACAAAACACGAAACTTGCGTCAGCTGTTTAAACCAGTGTTGCCAAAAAGATAATAGCAAAAAAACTACAGTTTATTAAATCCAGTGTCGGTTTCTATAGCATCATACGTATATCATACTGGTACTTAAATAATTCGGACCAAAGCGAATATACCATTTCACGTTCATGAAAGGTATAAAAACTAACGACTGAGTGTTTTAAGTAAATAACTGTTTTCCTTCACCTCTTTTTACTATAATTTATAGCAGCAGATTTGCTCAAAACACATCTGTAGCTACTCAGTGCTAGAAGTTTAACTGAGCTCTCCAGCGATCGTTTTCGTACTCAGCGCAGTTCGGACTATCGCTAAATTTCGATCTGTTGTATTTTGCGTTTATTTTTCAGACGCGCTCCACAGTTGGTAGGGCTTATGAAGTCGTCGTCGTCGCAGTAAAAAAAATCGTCATTTATATTTTTTTATAGATCAGGTGCAAGAGAGTTACCTGCCTTGCTCAGGTTGTTTTTAAAGATGTTTTTGGGTCAAATGTTACTCAGCACAATATTTTGTCTTCTATCAGGTATCAACGGTGTCATGTTAAAGGCTCCTTATTCCCTTTGGTATGTAGCTTGACTACTTGAAAAATAATTTGTAAGATGGAGATCTGTTTATTTGAGAGAAACTCTTGTTTCAAGCTCAATTGCTTGCAAAACTTTTACTTTCCTCTTTCTCTGTTGCATTGAATATACTTAAATTTCTCTGGAACTAAACATAAATTCTCAACACAATTTTTGCCTGTTTTTATTGCCAGAAAAATCTGTTTTTATTTGTATATGGTTATTTTAGCACTTTGGCGGCCAAAAAGTTTTTCTCACACCTGACATATTTACATTTACTTTACTACTTTATGTGACACGGGCAAGTAAAGTGAAACTTTCGATTTTTACCCACTAACAAAACACATATTGCCTATTATTTTTTTCTTTGTGTTTTTTTCTCTCTTTTTTTTTTTTTTTTTTTTTTTTTTTTTTTTTGCTAAGGACAAGCATCCACAGGTTTTATTGCATTCATAAAAGCGTCAAAAACTTTTACTACATAAGGTATACACTTTGCAAGCACACACACAAATATACATATATAATACATATGTATAGATGTAGGTATATACTACATTATATGCATGGAAAACAATGTTTCAACTTTTTTTCGCAACGAAAAGTTTTTCCAACAATTTTTTGTTTTGACATTCGTTTGCTGGTTTATTATCATCAGCGGCGACTCAATATGTCCAAAACTATAACTGTAACCACAACGGTGTACGAAATCACCGTTAGATACATGCTTACATACCAGCAGCGTTTGGAGCGCAAATAAAAAGTAGAAAAAGATTTTCTGACAGCATTTCATTTCACTCATTTCCATGCACTGAAATACCAAAATCCTGTCGTGACATTTTTTGTTTTAAAATTTTTTCCTCGCTCTCGTTTGTATGACATTTCCAATATAAAGGGTGGCTCATTTGTTGGTT